CATAAAGCACACCCAGAGCTGTAAAGCATAGCACTACCAGCTAACTTCTCATTGGTTCTTTGCCACAAGGCAGGCATCTGACCTCTTAGTGACCAAGATAAGGTCAAGAAAGCATGTGTTAGGCTTTATGGCTGCCAAAATAGGGAGCTGGTCCCTTCACATGGAGGTAAAAAAACAAAAAACAAAAAACTAAACAAATTTTTTAAGCAGTGCAAACCATCTAAAGCAATTTCAGTTGCCTGTCAGTTTTTAAATGCTGCCCATAAGAAACAAAAAAAAAAAAAAGAAATACGTTGTGGTTATGAGAATTTAAAAATAAGTAGACATAGACAAAGATTATCACATAGAGCACAGTCCTTTTTATAGGCTCATTCTTGTGTTTCTTGAACCTCCAGACTTTGCTGAATACTGAAATCAATATTAAATCTAACCTTAATCCATCCAGAAAGAAGTCTGTGAGCTAAATTCGTATTTCAAGTAGATTTTATGAAATACAATACTAGGAAATCCTCAATGTATATTTCTTAAAATTCAACAAAATGCAATTGAAAAGCCACGAATCAAAGATCTTCCATCTTTAACAATATTCTCCTAATGTAGACACATGTCTTTGCAGGCGAGAGGAAGGATGGTCTTTGTAACGTGCTTCTTCTGCACATCTAAAATCCAGAACAATTTTATTACTCTAGAAAAGAGAAGAGTCGTTGAGACCTTGTGTTTCATTGGTCTTTTTGGCCATGTCTAAAGAGGAATATACTTTTGTATTTGACTCAAAATGTTTCTTCTGCCTACAACTATTTTTTTTTTTTTATGAACACAGGAGAAAAGTCAGTCACTGACTGAGTCTATAACCTGAAATTGGAATTTTCAGTCCAAAATTGAAAGATAAAATATGTTGTTAAGACCGAATTTAGTCTACAAAAACAGTCTCTTGTTTTGGAGGTGCATGCCAATTACAGTGCCTGGTAGAAGACAGATCCTCAGAGAAGCTGTGAGTGATGAGAAGGATACTGGATGCTGCTTTCTCTGGAGTCCCACTTCCTTCTCTCACCTACTTCCTTAGTGCTGGTCCCCATTATTTCTGGTCACCTGGGGATCAAGCATTCAAATATATGAGCCTATGGTGGGGCCATTCTCTTTCAAGCCACTTCATTCTACTCCCTGGCCCCCATAAGCTCATGGCATTTAGTTCAACTTCAAAAGTCCCCATAGTCTATAGCAGTATCAACCCTGTTTAAAAGTCTAAAGTCCAAAGTCTCTTCTGAGACTCATGGCAATCTCTTAACTGTTACTTCTGTAAAATGAAATGAAAAAAGCAGATCACATACTTTCCACGTACAATGGCAGAGATACACTACCATAGCAAAATGGAACATAGGGTGGAAAATACTGAACCAAAGCAAGAATGAAACCCAGGAGGGAAAACTCCAAATTCTGCAGTTTTATGTCTGATGTCCACAGGCTTAGATGCTGCTCGCCTTTCAGCTTTACTGACTATAGCACACTTCTCTCTCTTGGGCTTCAACACCCTGTATGTAGCTCTCCTTGGCAGATATCTCAATGCTATCTCCAACACATTGGGGTCTCCAATGGAATCCAGGTTTCACTTCTACAGCTTCACACCATGATCTCTCTGTTGTTAATGGTCTCTTTTGCAGATCAAGTTTTCCTTCAATTCATTTTCAGAATTTGGAAACCTACCTGGGTGAGGTCTCGCCCTGAGGTCACCACATCCTTTATTCCATTTAGCATCAGGCTTTTCTTTAAATTTTTATCTCTCTGAGCACAGGACTTGGCCACAACAATACATTTCCTGGTGTTCTTTTCTTCTCCTCAAACTGGACATTTGTATTTCTCTTTATATTACTTGTTCCTTCTCATTGTAGATGTGTATAAGTGTTATCACTAATAACCACATGACACAGTCACTACTAGGCTGTCTTGAAATCTCCTTTGCTGATGACATTAATTGAAAACTCTTCAATTTAGTCTCAGGGAGATTTTTAGAACAAGGGCAAAAAGCAGCTGCATTTTTTTTTTTTTACCAAAATATTGTCAGAATTGTCTTTGGCCAGCCAATAATATTTTCCACTTTGAAACCTCAAGCTAGGCCCCCACAGTCCACATTGCCATCTGTACTACAGATTACATCTGTCTTTCATGCTCCTGTTAGAATGGCCCATTAAGTACTACTAAAATCCTTCAACCACTTTTCTAGTCCAATTTCCCAAAGTCTTTAATATTTTTCCAACTAACAATATGGTCAGGCCTATCACAGCAACACCCTAGACTGTGGTATCAGCTTCTGTCTATTGCTCTGAAAAGACACCATGGCCGATATAAATCTTATAAAAGCAATCATTTAAGTGGGGAACTATCTTAGTTAAAGTTTTTATTGCTGTGAAGAGACGCCTTGACCATGGCAACTCTTATGTTTTTTAAAAATTTAAATTGGAAACAAGCTTGTTTTACATGTCAATCCCAGTTCCCTCTCCCTCCCCTCCTCCCCTGCCCCCCATTATCTCATCCCCTTTCTGCTCCCCAGGGAGGGTGAGGCCTTCCATGGGGGGGTCTTTGAAGTCTGTCATTTCATTTGGAGCAGAGCCTAGGCCCTCCCCTGTGTGTCTAGGCTGATAGAGTATCCCTCTATGTGGAATGGGCTCCCAAAGTCCATTTGTATGCTAGCAATAAATAGTGATTTACTACCAGAGGCCCCATAGATTGCTGAGGGTGACTTATGGTCTGTGTTTTGCTGGGATAGTCTTAGTTTAGCACTGAATTCTGGTGTCAAAGGCAAATCTTCAGTTCCCAGTAAACTGGAACAGTTTGTCATCATACATTGGGAAAAATTTAAAATAGTATAGAATCATGCATGGTTTTGGCCAATATTCAATGGTAGTCCTATAAGACATTTCCTAGTGACATTAGAGCTACCACAGTATGTGAAAATATATGATTTTTATGCTGTAATAGGAACAACTAATGGCACATGTCTCAGAACATGTCATCATTAAGTGACAAATAACTCCAGTTCCAGCTTTTTCATGTAGGTGCTGAGGTATAATAATA